GCAAGTTAAAAAGATATTTAAAGATGCGTTTAATTATCAAGAAAACGCAAATACGAATTACCGACGATATTTGAAATGTGGAGAGGAGCGCGCCAACCAGTCTAGTAACGAAGATGAAACTCGTAAGCATGAGTCTTTGCTTTATTACTTTTAATAAACGAGGCTCGTATAGGAAATGCGACGCGCAAATGCAAAGGCAAACAGACTGCGCTCGTAAAAGACGTAAATCGTTGTCGTGCGCTCGCTCCTCTTCCTTCTTCTTTATTTTTATCTTTGTGCCTTCTTTTATTTCTCGCGTGCTATATAGTCGTTCTCGTTGTATTGGCATAACTTGTTTGTTATTCGCATTTTTTTTTTCTCCCCCAATGGAGTAGTGTCTTTCATTTTCCAGCGCAGCCGGAAAATTCTTAATCCCTAAATATTTGTGCAAATCATTAGAATTGTCGGAAGTATCGGTAGTCTCATTATCGAACTCTGTTAAACGGTTTCCATGTGCTTATTGACATTGTTAATGTATTGATTTTACTATATCAATTACTACATAAATACCACACTAACGTAAATATTATTCAAATATCATATTGTTTTTTTTTTTATTTTTTTTTTTTTCAACAAAAATTCATTAATATTTTTTCATTCCACAATAATAGAATAAATATAAAAGTATGCATTATGCTTTAACCATTTGTTAAATTTTATAAATATTTAAAAGAAAAATGTTGTCTGTCAATTGGGATTAGTAAAATTATCCTATAACAGCAATTTTATCCATCGATTCAATGTTAAAGAAGTACGAAAATTTTTCTTTTGTAATTGTTTTGTGAAATTTGCCCTTGTATTTTCTATCGTAAGTGTAAGCGTAAAGAATATTTTTAAATTTTGAAAAGTTAAAAAGACAAGTGGAACGATGAAATGATCCACAATCAATATTTACGTGTACGTATCGCCGCATGGATGACTCGATGATTCGCGTAGTTAGATAATTATAAAAACGATCGAACGTATTAGATTCAAAATATTGATGTCGAATAAAGATATTTGTTTGTACAGTTTAAGCTCCTTCGCTTAGTCCAACAATAAAGTACTAATTAAATTAATAACGCAATACAATATTCTCTTACAACGTGAATTTCTGATTAATAGAATGTCAAAAAATAAACATCACTCCTTCGTACATTTAACATTCACTTGTTTATATATAATTCTTTATACAAAATTTCGTGCCGTTTATGCAGTGCCGTTTATTGTCAAACAAGATCTCAAGGACAATGTAATATGGCTAATATACTCAATACTCTGAAATATCAAAAATTTTCAAAAGAATTTATCCTCGCGGCACATTCGCGAAGCGTCGACTACGACTAATGCAAGTGCCCCGAGACGAGAGTGTCAAGGATATCCTCTAACCACCAGGCGCACAATCTATGATTGCAGGAGTGGCAGTGATCGAGCAGTGACTGACCGTCACGATGCGCATGTCGCTGCTGCTGAGATTGGTGTTAGCGGCAGCGGGTGCGCTGCTGGCGAGCGCCGAGCTCGTCACCGACGGCCAGGACCACGAGCGGGAACGGGCCGAGCGGCCAGGAACGACGTCGTCGTCGTCGTCGACGACCACGAGCACAAGCACGAGCACGAGCACGATCACGAGCACGAGCACGACGACGACGACGACACCGACGACACCGACGACACCGACTACAACAATGACAGCGGCAGCGACGATTATGACGACAACGCCGGTGACGCTGAAAGAGACAAGCAAGAAGAATTCGACAGCGATGAGTACGACGGCCGCAACGATCGGGACGAAGATGACGACGAGGTCGACGACGATTGCGAGGACGAAGACGACGACGAGAACGAGGCGGCCCGATAACATCCACGCGGATACGATGGACGAGGGTGAGAAAGCGAGGGTCATTGCCGGACTCGAGTCGAGCCTGCTGTCGCTCCTCGGCTTCTCGAAGAGGCCGAGGCCGTTGAGGGGACAGGCCCACGTGCCCGAACCCCTCAAGCAGCTGTACAGGAGGCAGAATAGCGCGGGCGTCGTCGACGTCGCCAAGCGAGGGATCAACGCCGGGCCAGCCAATACCGTGCGCTCCTTCGTCCACGTCGGTGAGTCACTTTTACATCTGCGTTAGGTTAAGAGCGGACGGACCGAGCGGCCGCTGGAGGCAGCTCGAGCAGTCGATTTAACTTGCTTTGCCTTGAGCTTGCCTTTACCTGAAATGTAAGAAAAATATGTTTAGCCTAGCCATACGACCAACTTACATTCCCCGACTTACCTTCCCTCTTCCCTTCACCTCTCCACGAATACTCGGACGGATATTCGTCGGCGAATTATCTTCAACATGTCCCGAAATATAAAGTAGTATTTTATTTCGAGTTTACGCATGGCAACCATTCGTTATTAATGTAGCTTAATTCGAAATCATTTAGTCGCTCGATTCATTGAATAGCTAAGGAGCCACTAAAACTTTGTCACATATTTATTTTCTACTTTCAGTAGTGATTTTTTTCTTTCTTTAATAATTTACTTTGTCAATGCACTTTTTTGCTCATTTTATGTGTTGTATTTTTTTACTTATTTTATTGTTTTTTTTTTTTTTTTTTTTTTTTTTTTTTTTTTTTTTTTTTTTTTTTTTAATATACTTTTTTCTTTTATTTTTTAGTAGAAAATTGAAGTAAAAAGAAAAAAAAATAATCTAAAGGTAAAATAAAATAAAATTTTAAAGAAAACAAGATTGTGTTTTACGCGCACACACCGACACATATATGTATGCCTTGTTTGTAGACATTTTAGATATTTTTATTTTAGCATAAAATCTTCTTAATTAAATCAAGTTACGCTTTGAAAATCGAGAGACGTTTATTATAATCGTTTTCTTTTTTTTCTTCTTATTTATTTAATCCATAATTGGTCGTGAATTCGTGAATTCTGATGAATTTTCGCTGTGCTATATTAACGATTGATCAAGTCTTTAACGATTCTTACGATATTCATGAGTATCGATAAGTTTTATTGAATAATTTAAATAGATTTGATATGTAAACTCGATATATTTATCATCCTCACAATTATCCTAGCTTTTCTTCGCAATCGGTGACAAATTCTAGTTACTACTAATGACCGAAGCAGCATATAAATTATATGCAATTAAACATATTTATTATATTACAGTAATTAAAAAGCTTGGTAATATCTAGTTACGTATATCTGTATTGGGAGATTCCTTCTTTAATTCATTGATTTATATTTTATTCTAAAGAAATGTTATATTGTCGTAAGCTTTCTTAAAAATAATTATACTTTTATTATTTCACTAATTGCGTGATGTAAAATTTTCGGTTATCATTAAAGTATATTAATATTTGACTTTAAAAAAAAATATTGAGAGCTCTCTCTCTCTCTCTCTCTCTCTATATATATATATATATATATATATATATATATATATATATTTTTGGAATAATTTGTCGACTCCTTACTAAATGTCGAAATAAATGCCGTTTTTATTTTTTTTATTTTTTCTGTCCTTCTGCTAATGCTCTTTTACGAATGATGTAGCCTTTTATTCGAAACTTAAACTTTCTCTTATTTAGCCGCTGACATTAATTTTTTATTTATTAAGAAGTTTGTCCCCAACCTAAGATTAGTTTCGACGTTAAAGAAAATGTATCTACTTAAAGTACCCGTCGGATCCTCAACCATATTGTTACCTAAATTGATATTGCATCAATAGCATACCTAACCGTCTCATTTATAATTCTTTTAAAGATTCACTTATTCCAAGTATACTTATTTAAACTATGAAAACTATCTGTAATTTTAATTTTAAGATTATTCATTTTTGAAATATTATATTAAGAGGAACTTTTAATTACATTTTTATTTTCAACATAATATGTCGTACTAATAACGGTTCATTAATCCCAATTAATAAATTTCTTTATGCTGCATGGGAAATTTGCATTTGTAAAATAATTGTTTATAATTATTCCATGCTAATAATAATTTTTTAATTACTCGACTGGCAATAAATTTTGCTAGCGAATATGCAATAAGAGCACGAAATCTGATAAACTTTTTTCGGTCCTGTTCATCAATAAAAAAAAAAAGCACTACGAATGTGCACATAAATATCGAGGGAGATCAATTAGTGGAATAAGAAAAACCAAAGAAGGTGACCACATTACCTCACAAAATTCTATTTCTTAAGCTATTTATCAATCATTGGCATTTTCTTTGTCGCTAGAATCAACTGAATCATAATTCGCGATGTGTTTAATACACATACGAATAATTTATCGTATTATAAAATATTTATAAAATATTGATTGGACTGTCATGGACGAGCTACCTAACCCGTAACATTTTTTCACGTCAAATCTCCTTTGAAAACTTCTTGAATGACATTTGAGAAAAGAAAGAACGAAAGAAAGAAAAAAAATAATTCGTACACTAGTTCGTGATAATGTGACGTTCCATTGTCATTGAGAGCCGTGAATAATAAAGACTCGGCGGGCGGAACAAACTGGATTTCTTTCGCTTATTGGATTGACTCGAAAACTTTCATCTATACATTGTATGCTTTGAGTGCGGTGATTTATTGTATATTCAATCAATAATGGAAATATAGCTTCATGAAGATACTAAGATGATATTTTTTTTTTTTTTTTTTCTTTTAAAGAATGCGTAAATACACAAAAGGAAACACGAATAAATAAAATGGGCTATTTTTAAAATAGATTATTTAATGGCAATTTAATTCGTTTATTCGTTCGCTTATTTATTAAATATTATTTATTAAATTAATAAAAATTTTATTACAAATACTATTGCCCATAATATTAATATATACGCTCTAAGAGGAAATACGTCATATCGATAATACTTATTATATTGACAAAAATGGATAAAGACTGTTCTTAAATGTATTTAAATAACTTTATGTTACCGACAATCATGAAAATCTGGTTTGAAAGTTTCTTAAATAATTCAGTAATGACGAATTAAATAGTTTTTCCAAGGGACTCGACTCAATCTATTTACACCTGTCATCATAATGGAATTTTCGTCTCGATAAGTGCAGTCCCTCTCAGAAAAATAAACTAAACTATTTCAACTACACTACGTGGGTGTCATAGCATGTTAACCGGCGTTAAAAACTACCTACACTATACCAAAGAAAGCATCTACCCCCGATCTCTCTCTCTCTCTCTCTCTCTCTCGTTCGCTCGCTCGCCCGCTCACTGGCACTTAATCTGCAAGACCGAACCTGTTAAGTGAAGGACTAAGAACGCGCGATGCCACTTTGGAAATTCCAATTGTGCTACGTCAAATGGATCGATAACAGCGGACTCTGAAGTTCCAAGGAGGCAGAAAACATGGTCGGTAAGAGAGATAGAGAGAACCGAAGAAAGAAACGGGTGCAAACAGGCTGCCAAAGTTCGGCAAATGCCAAACGAGCAGTGAATTATGGGCCCGAGTCCATTGGTGATGCGGGCGCGTGCATCCCCATGCGAGGGATGCACCGACGCTCACAGCGGGTGGTTGCCTCCCTGGTATATCGCTTACAAAGTGGCCGCCTTCTCAGGTACACTAGTGCTCTATCCCCTCTCCCCCTTTCTCTTTCTCTCTCTCTCTCTCTCTCTCTCTCTCTCTCTCTCTCTCCCCCTCAGTTTCCGATACGGATCCGATAGGAATCCTCACCCCGGAAACGTTGGATCATGCGCGCACGAAAAGGTGGACAGCCGCTCTTACTGTTTTCGCGGAAAAACTTGAGCAACGGGTTGGTCCTTGGGAATTAGGTGTAGAGTACAAGCGCAGCGCGACGCTATTGATGAATGTTTCGATTTTTCTTTTCCTCGAGAGATCTTGATCTCCTGCTCGCGTGTCAGAAATGTGGAATTCTGAGTGCCGATTGCACTTTGTTCCTTCATTCCTCCTCGCATCTCTCTCTCTCTCTCCCTCTCTCTCCCTCTCTCTCTCCCCCTCTATCTATCTATCTCACTTCAATTCACTTGGAAAAAAATTTACATCTTCACTAAATTGTCACGATTAATGGAACCTTCTCTGATGTTTATCTGCATACAAAACAGCCAAGATAATATAAAATTTAGATTAACAACAAAAGCTAAGTCACAATGAATCCTCGTAAGTAAAATGTATTTCCATACGATGAAAGCGAAAGATTAATTGATCATAATAATTTCTGGGCCTTATATAGCTTATTATATTTTACTTTTGTAACATAGATTTTGAATTCTGAAATTATTTAGCTGATTGTTACGTTATATTGTACGTCAAGTGTATTTGATAATCGCGACAGTACTGAATTTTTCAACAAAGTAATAAATTAAAATTATTATATTTTTCAAAATAAGAAGCGGAACTTAATTAGCAAATTTTTACTAAAAAAAAATTAATTTAAAGCTTTCAACATTGTAATTAATAAAATAAAAATTTTTTTCATCTTTCCATAATTAAGAAATATCATTTGGTCGGAAACTAATTGCTTTTATAAAAAAAATCTATGCGTTGAAAATACTTTTTAAATCAAAAGTTATTATCAAATATTCTTTGATAATAATTTATTTTTTCTTTTGTATAAACAAAGTTCGATCACCGTATATTCATTCTTATCGGTAAAACGAATGAAAAAAATATTTATTATAACCAATCATAGTCGAATTCGTAACAAAGTACAACGATGCGGCCATTACACGTTTCCCTTTTTCTTCTTCTTCTTCTTCTTCTTCTTCTTCTTCTTCTTCTTCTTCTTCTTCTTAATCACATGTAAAACAGTACAAAGCGATAATAGTAAGAGCGTGATTGAATTCTTTATCGCGCGTTATTTTTAGGACTTTTTCATTGTTTACACGCCGTTCAAGTTCGAACCTGTTCCTCTTTTTAAAAACGAAACAGGCATAAAAAATAAAACGCTCCGTCAATGAAAAAGTCTCCGCTTCGCTCTCACACTTTTATCCGCCTACATGTCTCTTTCTTTTTCTCCTGTTTTCCTCTGAATATTCACACGTACGTTCGTTTTGCTCTCGAGCTCGAGGGAAGAGCACGCGCGTAAATTTCTGTCGATACAGACTTTTAGACTCCA